AGTAGTTACCCTGATCAAAATAAACAAAGTTTTTTGTTGGTAGAAGAATCGTTCATCAAAAAGGTAACATGGGAAATTGATAGGCCAAAAAGCGCCGAGTTCAGAAAAGTTCAGTCCCGACATCGCTGCCACTCGATACCAGGGAAGGTTGTGCTCAGCTGCTCTGTGGAGGCGAGTATCATTCGGGATGGATCCCATTTTTGTAAATAGGCTCGGCTGATCGACCTTTTCCTGATAGCTAACACTCGTTGCTCTACAGCCAGTGGGCCCGTATCGTTCTTGAAACAGAATCATCTGTGAACCAGCAAAGCTCTAGGCCCACAGACCACCATACTTCTTAGGTTGTTTATGCTGTTTTTATCTAGAAGAGCAAAACAAAAGCGATGTTCTTGAGTAACGAATAAACAATGGCTCCCACCCCCTCGCCATGCATAGTGCTCAGCTGATTTTTCGTATGTTTGGCAAGGATGCATAGTTAATGGCAAAACAACAAGCTCATCACACACCAAAATCAGCGTCCTCACTCATCCAAATGAGTGTGTGCTGCTCGAAGCCTACTCCCACACCATCCTTATTGTTGTGTCATTAAAAGCGGCCAAAGCCCCCTTGTCGGCCAATCTATGAAGGGGCACCACCCTTTCACGAATATCAACAGCAACAGTGTTGAATCAATAGATGCTTTGCTTTCACATTTACTCTAGAGATTTACCAATCGTCTTTATGCTGTTGTGATTGTCATATATGGAGAATCTTAGGCCCCTTAATTCTCTTCGAATCCCCCTTCCAATCCAGAATCATATTTTTATTCCTATGAAAAAAGACGGACTAAAAGTATCTATCCTAGCACTTTCATCCCCCCTCCCTCCTTCCTTCTCTTCCGCCCTGCCACAGAATTGTAGCAAATCCAAGGGGCTTTGTCCCCTCAGGAACTCAGCGGCTCCTCTACCTGCGCTCTGCTTCCGACTTTTCCTTTGAAAGAACTCCCGAATCACTCCTAGAATATAATGACTGGCACACCAGTCCGTTCCCGAAGGGTCCCACTCTACACCCTCACCAATCATTTCCGTCCTGTTCCCTACTTCGAATTTGGTAGACTCAGTAATGAGGCTCTGGCTTTGAACTGCACTTCCATCAGCCCTCTAGGGAAGGTCGTAAAATCCTGCCAAACGATCGAAGCCTTCCATCTTTTTGAGGTGAGCTAGTCGGCAACAAATCTGTTTGGGAAGACACTTTGTCTCCGGCTCATGGGCTCCTGGAAGGAAATATATCAACAAGGAAAATAACCGGCTAAATGCTTCTCCGATAAAAAAAGGAAGATTGACTGCTTGGCGCAGCCCAAAGTCTCTTAAACGAACGCCTTCACCATTAATTTTTTTTGGTCTGAAAAGAAAAAAAAAACAAATATCGTTCTGAGTTTGATGTTTTGCTTTCCACAATAGTTTCGGCTTCTAGCATTTTCATAGAGCTTAAACTGGGTAACAACAGAGCTGTTGGCTAGTGTTTTCGACGTTCCCGAACAAGCCCGCTACTAATTAGTTGGCTTCAGAGAAATGAAATGTCCGGTTGGTCTCAGGCGGAGGAATATAATCATCGATAGTGTTTACTCGAAAATACTCTCCAAGTCGAGATTCACTGCTGAAACTTGAGTGTAGTTTGAAAGTTTGGTTACCTTTGATGAAATCGACAACTAAAGCGAACTGTCCATATGCAGCAGAATCTTTGCAAATGATGCCCCATCATCATGAGCATAGTCGGCCGTGCTCGAAGAGAATTGGTGATACTAAATCCCATTTTCTAAAAAAAACGCTGACGTCGGAAAGAATGAAGCTCACATGATACGTTTGCTTCAAAAACTGTAAGGTACTCTGGTGGACCCTTTGTTGTGGGAGGCCTAGCGCTTGTTGATAGAAATATGAAGTCTCTCGTTACAATCGATCCCATCTTTGGTATGCGCCCGACATTCGACGTCCATTCAAAATCGTAGTTGCGTTTTGAATGCGTATGTGGCCTACACAATGACGTGCTGTGGTCAGCCGATGTACAAGTGATCAGAGTGGTGCTACTTCCAAATTCCATTTGATGATTCCTGCTTGATTTCTCTCATATTACTACTGTTTACAAGAAATATACCCTTGAAAGTGCTCCTATTCCTTTGGGGCCATCTGCAGATGCTAATACCAAGGGGTATTATCATCTGCAGATGGCTATTAGTTAGTAAGCCGTATTTTTCATCATTTTTAATAAAGATAGCTGTAGTGAGTTGAAGGAAAAGGCTGAACCTTAGTGAACTCGCTGACCCCAACAGATTCAACCGCTCGACTCTCATGCGCGCGCCCACTTAGCGTATTGAAAATTGAACCTATGAAGAAATCAGATTTGTCGTGGTTCCCCCGGTTGGCATCCTCGGACCTGCCGATAAAGAGTTCAACGGGAAAAAAATCGATAGTGGCTCTGGAGCGATGCATAAAATACCACTTCCGGATTGTAATGGGGATGGAGGATGGGAAGAAATATATAAAGCAGTGATTCCATCGGCCTTACTGGTGATTTCGGTAGGCTAGGTTGATTATGATTAACTGCTAATAATTATGATCAAATAAACTACCACAATTTTGTTGTCAACCCAAAGGATTGATAGATATCACTGGTAATACGGCTTAAAGGCACAGTTCACGTTAATTTTGAGGTACCCGTTTTTATTCGGAAAGCGAAAGTATAGATTGGGAATAGTGCTTCGATAGTGAAGAAAGCGAGGGTATTCGCCATTTCGAGAAAAATATGGCTTCTCAAGAGTAGGGAAAATGGGGTTGGACGAGATTACCATGACGGAAACAACATAGAGGGAGTATTCGGACGAAATTTCAGTTGTTGCAATTGCGCAAAAAGCTGACTACATCAAGCCAGAACTGTACGGAACTGTCGTTCACTGTCGCTATGAGTCATGACAAGTTGTTGAACTTCCTAGATGGGTTCCCTTGTGATCGGTGGAGCCTCTATAATGCCGGTGAAACTCGTCCTAGGATACACACGGGCCAATCTTTGAGCCTTTATAACTCCCCTACTAGAACGTTTTCCGACCTAAGAGTGTCACACATGGTATACGCGGGAGCGACAAATTCATCCTGTGGGGGAATCCTAGGAACCATTTTTATCGTGAACTGTGCCTTTAAGTGAACAGAATGAAATGAATGATTATGCGGATCTGTTTGAAGAGAGAGTTCACGATAGAGGTGACTTTGAAAACTCTCCCTAAGATGAACCAAACCCCCAAGGATAGCATAAGGGAAGCTGTCGAGCCGAAAACCGATCTAGATATGTGTACTACGAGGTTCAAAACTGGCTTGGCCGATGTACACACCCGCCTCGGACGAGTTGTCACGGCGTTGTAGCGGCTATAGAGCTCTTTTACAGCGGGATGCACGCAACTTGTTGTAGACAGCTGTACACATCAATGGCACACACATTTGAACGGCTCGTCCAAATACCTCTTTCCTGCATCTTTTGGGACATTAATAAGACATTCTCGTCCAATTCCTAATCCTACAACTTTTTTGAAGTCTTATAATTCTCTGAAGACGACGATTTTCTTGTTTCCTTCGTTAATTTTGCACTTTCTGGGCTATCACATCCATTGGTTGTCGAATTCTAGGTACCCAAAAGTTATCGTGATACCTGCCTCAATTTACGGGTCCACGCATCCATCATGACAAGTGGGTATTTTGGAAGAAATTGATAAATCGTCTGGTCAAGCTCCATACATTTTATCCCCTTAGTGCAGATAGGTTTATTGGGTACACGATCTTTTTGAAAAAGTCTCTCAGGTAAATATTTAGTAACCCAGTAAGCAGCGAGCCTTTCTGTGCTATAGGTTGAAGCGAAGTCCACATTGAGGCCGTCTGAATTTAATATGGTCCCACCACGAGTTTTTTTGTAGGGATATGAATAAGAATCGAACGCATAACTTATATTCGAATAAAAAGAATCGTCTGCATATATGGAATCGGATACTTCTTATCGGCTGGACTGATTTGAATGTGTGGTTGGAAGCAGTGGCACCTCAGTCAGGATCGATTCCCATTTCACCCATTTTGTCTTGCAAGAATTAGAATAAATCAAATTTGCCAAAGGCATCTCAGCAAAACTCTGAATATATCTGCCACTGGAGAACGGTACATGTCCCATCGAAAAAAATCAGGCAGCTCTTATTCTTGATCTTTAACTCTGGACTAAAGGAACTGAGGAATTGTTGCTGCTGACGAGTGAGTATGCCAGCTTTTTCGCTAAATTTTCCATCAAATGGAAAAATAGAACTACCCCACCTCCCAAGCTCCTTGGATTACGCCATGCATTCAAGTGTTCCTCGACATCGTGCATTTTTCCGGTTCATATTCGTCATGTGCAATGACTTACGTGGGCGAGTTGGTCATGAGATCTGTCGCACTTGCAAATTTATTACCACATTTATCTGTCCCAGAGGTATCGGATGACACTATAGGCGAATGTAATCCCCGAGGGGAGTCGCTGTTCGTTTGGATACTATATCATTACTCTGTCCGCCTAGCACTCTTGAAAGTACAAACAAAAAAACCCAATGGAATCCTTAGAAATGCCCACCTATTCGAGGCTTCTCAGTCTGTTGGACGATGAGGACGAAACGATGAAATCAATTGAAGAATGAAAAGAACTTGATTAGAATCCGTTGACGGACTCTTGACTTACTCGAAAGCTAAGAGAGTACGTGATAATGGGAGGTGGGCGAGTCCCGAATGTGATCTCATTGGGTGAGATGGCGGAAGACGAGGCGTTAAGCCGAGGAGGCGGCGACACGGGGATAACAATAGATGAACATCATCAGTCGCTGACCTCTTCTCGAGCTGACTCCACCCCACTGAGTGATTCTTCCCTCCTCTTGGCATCGTAAAACACTACGCGTCTTCGAGCGGATTCAATAGTCTTACTGCCATATGATTCTAAAGGGAATACTGTAACGTTCGATCAAAATGGACGATAATCGCAAGATAAGTCTGATTCAGCCCCAGAAAAAGCAGTCTCAAGGTGAGCCACAGGTGTTAGACAATCAATTTTCTATAGATAGTTCGAGAACATTCGTACCGTCATTCCATTGTTTTCAAGAAAGAAGTCTCAAGTCTTTATTTTGATCAATCCCTTTTTTTGGATTCACCCTCGTAGGACTTCCATTCAGAATCGTAGTGGCGTAGTGAATGCATATGTGGCCTATACAATGACTTGCGGTGGCCAGCCCATGTACAGTAAGTGCTTTTATCCTCCCAGACGAATCTGGTACCAATTACACGACCCAGAAGGATGGAAAGTTCGGTTGGCTTACAAGCGGATATCGTTCCGGGATACGATCCCGTAGCCATGCATGTGTACTAGTGCCGAACTAAACCGTACCCGCCCTCATTTCAACTCAATGAATCTTTTCATCATAGATAACCATTGCTTATAATAAGTTGTAGGTAAAGAAGGGACAAGTTATGGACGAATGTCTCTGTTACAAATTCTATACATTTCTAAGAATTTTCTTCATGTAGAATGCGAGATTTCTTTTTCTGTGGAACGAAACAGCTTGGGTTCTTTTGACTCAGTAGATGAGAATATTGATCGTTTCAACCGATTCCTTTCAAAGTCCACCCTTCTTCTTGTCCTATCTTCCTTAGGACTCCACCATAGCAAACGGACTGCTTCCAACAAAATCGTTTGAAGGAGAGAGCGGTTCACAGGGCTTAGTGGAGTACCATCCCATGCCTGGCCCGGCCATCGAATCTCGGCTTGATCCGCTGTCCACTAAAGCCACATTTTGAAACCCTAGGGGACCGGTGAATCGCTACAAGACACTCATGGGAGGAAAAAAACAACCCCGTACTTGATTGACAAACGCAATCCAGTGATACACCTAGGATGAAATCAAACGACTCAACGGTGCTACGATTAAGATTGGAAGTCGAAGGAGAGGAAAAGGGGTTGATCGACGTAAAAAGCCTTTCATCCGTTTTGACCCCGAAATGAGTTATCTTAAATCAGAAATTTCGGTTTGCTCTGTGCTGCATAAAAAGCAACTGTACTTGTTGGTAAATGATGGTTGAAGTTACTTCTCGTTACTCTCCACTTTTTACTTTTTCTGATTTCTCTTCTCTGTTCTTCCATCTAATCCGTCAGCTCCTTTTTTAAGTTCCAGTTGACATATAACATGACATCCCTGCTGTCAAATCGTCCTTTCAATTCATTTAGTGAGTTACCGTGACAAATATGCAAATGGCTCGTCCTACGTCATAAGTATATTCCTACCAAGAACTGTTTTTATGTCTTAATAGGCAGCACTAGGCAGACATTACATGGTCCATTTGGGGTTTCATGTAAGGTTTCGAATGGAGCATAATGTGAGCACAGTCATAATGCCGGCTCAAAAGCCTAGGAGTCTACGGTATTCCTCCGTTCTGGACCATTAAGTATAAAGCCTCTGCCGCTAATCGGTCTCGTCCTGATAAACGTCCTCGGCATTGGACTTCCACTCAATAGGCGTTCCGAATGGGTATGTGGTCTATACAATGACTTGCAGTGACAAGCCGGTGTGCCAGTAAAGGGTCGAGCCGTAGTCGACTCGTGGAGGCTCTATAAGCGTCAAGAGGGGAAAATACGGATTTAGAATTGTTGATGCACATTTACAGGCATTTATGGATTGTAACGGTAAAGAAGACCGGTCTGAGAGAACACTGCAGCTGTAGATTCCAGGGGAGACGGGCGTTAGTAACGATTTTGGGTAATCGATTCGCCGCACGCGGCTGTCGCGGACCACTCATTCGCCGTTATTCAGCTCTAGCGTTCTTCATACAGCTCAAACGATATGCGATCATTATTTTATGCATAATTCTACTATTAGTCTCCAGCTTCTCTCTTGTTTTAACCTCGGCATAGTTGTTTATGATTATAATATTCTTGTGCCGTGCGAGGTTGTTAGGTGGAACAGTTTATTAATTAACGGCCTAACGTTTCGACGTCCTCGTCGTCTTCAGAGGCCAAGGTTCCACCGCTCAAGCGGATATAAAATCCGCTGTCGCCACAAGCGACTGTCAGTAGCGAATTGTCAGAAGTCAGGATCCTCTAGCCTGTATGTGCTATTTAAAGGTTTCGATTTCTTTTCTTCGATTAATTGGAGTTCGAAAAGGAGGCCCCAAGAGAGAGCATATATGTATCTTCATTTTTCTATCCGCCTAAGTTATCAAATTGTTGTGTTCGTTCTTTCATCTTTTTTTTGCAAAACCATTGGGTTTTATCAATTTTGTTTACGCTGTAAATCAGCTCAAGCGGTCACGAAATAATGGTTAATGTGAAATTTTTTGGGTAGATGGGTTTTATCACTATTTAAAATCCTCAATTCTCCCTAAGTTCATCTGCGACTGAAATTGGCGAAAAAAGTCGCTCATCAATTCAGGTAGAAATTCACGCTCGTTGAACCTTTTCTCTTTGCCACCATGGGTTATCTCTTTCTTTCAATCCATCTTGCATAAGCGCTAGTGCAACGAGAAAAACGACTTTGTGTTTTTGAGGGCTGGATTTTCGTTTAAATCGTGGTCAGAAGTTTGAGCTGGAAAATGTTTCAAAAAATAACGTTTTCAATGAATTCCGGGATTCCGATTTTAATTCTAATTTCAGTTTTACTCGGACACTTTATGTTTGCACTCTTACAGTCAATTTCTTTTTTTACAACGGAAATTTTTTTCCTCTGACTCAGGGACACCTCCAAGTGTATGAAATAAATCAATAAATAAATAAATAAGTAAACCCTCATGGATTTCGAAATGCAAACGTAAGAATCCCAGTCGCGAATATGAATGTAGTCTACTGTCTAGCTCTTTTTGGAACCATGCTTGTAAAGGTATATTTTGAAATGTCTAGCTGTTTATGATCTCTGTTCAGGTCAGGGCTTTCGATGAAAGAGTAAAAAGACAATGATGGCAATAATTGAATCCGTTTGAGATGCTCTCTTGGGATCCCATCGGGATTCCATTTAGAGTCGCAGAGGTGTCTGAGTGTGTCACAGGGGTCGGACGGAGTACGAGTGCTTGAACCAGCTACCAACCCCCCA